AGCTTCTATAAGTGTGTGAACAATTTTCCTAAGATAAATTTCTCTTTCTCTCTATATATAAGCTTTACTGGTTTTGTTTCTCTAGAGAACACAGTCTAACACACACATATATATATATCCTGGTCCCTTATTTCTACTACTTTATCTTTCTTCTTTGTGTGGACTGTGATGGTCTGTTATCTCTAAGGCATTGTGACATTTTTGTGTTTATATTTAATTGGTGATTTTATGTTGGAGTGATTTGCCCAAGATTTTAGTTTTCTTTGTTTTGTTTGGATGTATCTGAATAAGCAGGGTACTGTGCTTCTCTATTTGCTGGTTGGCAGCACTTATACACTCACCACCTGTCTCCTTTCCAGTCATCAACCTCTCATGTCTGTGCTGTCTTTGGCAAGTGGAGCCCATTCTTAGGTCCCTGGAATTTGAACGAGAGTACTGTCACTTTATATATCCAAAATGACCACTGCTTGTAAACATTCAAAATGGTTGTACCCAGCTGCCACTTGTAAACATTCAAAATGGCTGCCCTCTCCAGATAGCTGAAAGTCCAGAGCTCAGTTTGTCTCCTTCTTTGCTGTTTTCCTTTTCAGTCATCAGCTACCCATGCAGGAGTCCATATAATCCTTGGTGAGCAGGGCCAATTTTCAGGTTAATTCTCAGGTCATAACATTCAGTCTCTCTGTGCTGTCAGGACAACTGATGGTCCATAGCTCCATTTTTCTCCTTACTCACTGTTTTCTTTTCAAAGCTCAGGGCTCCAGGATTATCTTCTGTATTTGTGTCAATAGGTTTCTCTTTTCTTTGTTGAAGAGGGTCCATGCAGCTTGTCTGCCTATTCCACCATTTTACTGGAAGTCAATTTACCCCTATTTTTATCTTTGATGAACTTTATATAGTTTTGGGTTTACACTTAGGTCTTTGATCCAACTTGAGTTTGTTTTTGTGTATGGTGTGAGGTAGGGATCTTGTTCCATTTTTCTTCAAATGGATATCCAATTTTGCCAAAATCATTTGTTGAAAAGTTTATCTTTTTTAAGGAATGGACAGTCTTTGATCCTATTGTACATAACTGTCACTATGAATCCAAATTGACTTGATGGCACCAACAACAATAACAACAATAATTCTGTTCAGTAAACACTTATCAAGCTCAGCTCTGGGGCACACACACAACATGTTTTCAAAATTCTTGGAATTTAAAGATGAATCAGGCACAATCAGCCTCAGTATTTAGTGCATAAAACAGAAATTTCTCCAAATAGTTTAAGGAAAATGGGATTTAATACAGGTGCTTCTTGTTGTTGTTGTGTGCTGTCGAGCCAGACCTGACTCATAGCGACCCCTCTTTGGGTTTTGAGGCAGTATCACTACGGAAGTAGATTGCCCCATCTTCCTTCCAAAGAGTGGTTGGTGGGTTTGAACCACCAGCCTTCTGGTTAGCAGTCAAGTGCCTTAGGCACTATGCTACCAGAGCTCCCAATACAGAGTGTTAGATGTCTAATACCTTATTGGAAGTGCTAGAGGAATGGAAATGAGGGAAGGACTTCTGCTGAACTCTTGGTTTCAAGGATATATACCTGCAGTTGTGATCTTGTGGTCAAGAAATTACTGTCTCCACTCTCACTGCAGTTGTCCTCTCACTCTCCAAAGCATCAAAATGAAGGTGGTGTCCCATCACTCCTGTAGACAGCCTTGCTTATCAGCTGCCACTTCTACTGAAAAGTGACTGCTACCATCCTTCTGACCTTCACATCTAGTCCATGTGCATCTCAGCAAAGCTGTCCATTCAGAATCCCAGCTACAAGATATGTAACTTTTATTCTTCTAAAGTCTATTCTATAGAGTGGGGAAATGACGTAGGTGGAAATGGATGCCATTCCAAGAATCAATAGAACAACCTTGCGGAGCACACTACCTCTGCCTGCCAAGAGCTCACAGTCTAGTTAGTTGTGGAGGCAGAAAAACCAAGAGATAATGTCAGTGTGATGTGGCAAATGCAACAATGAACTTAGATGTTAGGCAGGAAATGATAAAGATGGGATTTTATGGGAGAGCAGTAGGATGAGAAATGAGAAAAAGGATCCAAAAAATATTTCTGGAGATAATGTTTCCTAAACTAAAGCTTAAGAGATTTCTAAGAACACATCATACAAAGAGGAAAGGAAGGCCATTTCAGGCATATGGGGGAGAACAAAATCAACCAGCTGTAAAACAATATGTTGATTATAGAAATGGAGGATTTCAGGGAAGTGAAATGGTGGGAAGCAGAGGAGTGGAAGTTGTGGGGTTGGGAGTGGATGTTATGTGGTCGTGATCTCATGGGCACCATGTGGGTGGGGAATACCAGCTCTACAGACGTGGGCATTTAATGTGACAAGACTTGGGAAGTGATTGAACATGAGGAGGATCACAGTAGTGAAAGGGAGCGAATCAGGGATTATATCCATATTTTAGACTTCCAGTGTTGAGAGGCTAGAGATGGTATTAAATCATTATTTGAACTTTGATCTAGTTGATAGCAAATATAATGCTTTCCCTGTTCTTTCACCCTGCTTTGACTATAATTTATTCTTGATAAAGACTAAAGGTATGTCCAATAATATTCAAACACCATGTACAAGTTATATGTATATGTGTACATAGTGATTTTTTAGGAAACAAGAAGCAGGGTCTCCATATGCGTACCAAAATTTGAGTCACTGAGTTAAGACTTTTGACTTAACAGCTTTGATAGCTGGTGTTCTTTCATTTTTATTATAGAGATCAAATTCTCATTCTGGAGTACATTTTGAAACTATACTAAGTGATTTTGCTTTAAGTAGTGCATCAAGTTAAAAAATCCTAAAGGTCTTCCTGGCATGAAACGTCAAGACTTGGATAACGATAAAAATATTTGCAGATGCATTGCTGAACTCTCAAGAACATGTGAAAATCTCCCCTTCCCTTCTGAGCCAAACGCAAATAGCAGTCTACTGGAAACCAGGATACTAAGTGAAATCTGGATGGGTCTGTTAACAACAGCATCTGAAGCTGTTGGAGGAAAATGTTGTCTGGGCTTGAGGATAGGGAGTTAAGAAGACTAATCTTATCCAAATTGGAGAAAAGTGAGTCTGGATTAGAGATCCTGCACTCTGATGGCCAGGAAACTGCCAAGGAAATCTCTGCACAACCTTCAGATCCAGGTGGAAAATATAATAGAAATAAAAACAGTATTAATAATGATTATAATCTTTGATAATTTTTGGTCATAATTGTCCCATATGGGTCTGATATTTGAATATATACTGCAGAGAGGAACCTCAAGATGAGAAATTAAGTCTGTACCAGCAGGAAATAGTGTACATCTTCCCTGTAGAAAGGCATCCTTTAGCCAACTCTTTCAGAATTTGTAACTATGAGTTTACTATTAACAAGACTGCTATTCCTAAAGTTTTCAGGGGCCAGTTTTTCAGAAGTGGATCACTACTTCCTTCTTCCTAGTCTGTTGTAGTCAGGAAGCTCAGCTGAAACCTGTCCACCATGGGTGATGCTGCTGGTGTTTGAAATACCAGTGGCATAGCTTCCAGAATCACAGCAACACACAAGCCACCACATTACGACAAACTGATGCAGCATCAGGATTGGAAGAAGACTCATTAACAACCTGTGATACACTAAAGACATAATGTTGCTTGCTGACAGCGAAGATTTGAAGCTCTTGATGAAGAAGATCAAAGACTACAGCCTTCAGTAAAGATTGTGCTTCAACATAAAGAAAATGAAACTCCTCACATCAGGACCAATAAGCAACATTATGATAAATGAAGAAGAGATTGAAGTTCCGAAAAATTTCATTTAACTTAGATCCACAATCAATGGCCATGGAAGCAACTGTCAAGAAATCAGATGATATATTTTACTGGGCAAATCTGCTGCAAAAGACTTACAGTATTAAAGAGCAAATATGTCACTTTGAAGAACATGGCCAAGAGTTACATCTAAGAATGGGAAGTGTTCAGAGCATCAATACTGTTAATGGTAAACAGAAAACCTAGAAAACATTGTTCATTGATGGAAGAAAATGTACATCAGTTTTGGCAATGAACAAAATGGTCAGTTCAGTGTGGAATTTTGAACAAGTAGCAAAAAGTTGACTCATTTATGTAGAATCCATCATACACTCAGGTGCAATGTAAAATGTTGCAATTCATTAGGCTTAAATATTCCTTTTATAATATGGCATTGGCATGGGGTATTTATTCATGGATAGGAGGCAAAAACCTCTCTGTATCACTTCACATTCAAATCTCACACAAAGTTGAGTTCTGCCTGAGGTGGAGCCTGGCCTTATGACAGTCCTATTTTCCTCCTGTAGAATCCTAGGGTTTTGACTTTATTTAACCTAGAGAAATGCATCCTTACACATCTTACAATAAACTTTATGTTTTTGTTCTGCTTAATTTTAAGCATGTTTCATTTTCTTGTTTGTGTAGTTGAAATAAAGAAAGGAGAATGTTCATAAAAATCAGTGAAATCAGTAGGAAAGATAATCAAGTCCATTTTGATATTTGACAATATTCACATTACAGATACCTATATTGGAATTTAATCATTTTAATTCAAATAAATTTAATATAACTATAAATAATGAAAATAAAATATATACCCAACATAGATTAATAATTTGGTAAATACCTAATGATTTTGATGTTTCCTGGCCTGCAATGACTGACTCTTTAGCAGTCTGCAGGCTTAAAAAAAAAAATTGTGAAATGCTGCAATTCTTACTAACACCTGTTCTTGAGAAGGATTTGCTAGTATTACACATTACATAGTTACTGTATGAAAGTTATAGTGTTTGGTATGATAAAATTTTTCCATTTTTCCTCTTCTTCATAAGTATACAGATAATCTCATTTCAGTGTGTGGAATGAAGGACTTTTATAACATATGTCCTTCCTTAAATATTCTCAATGTGTTAAAGAATGTCTTGATTTGTTTCTTTCTCCATGTTACCCTAGGATAGTTTCCCAGCAAGATTTGGAGGAATTCATTTTGTCAATCAACCATGGTATATTCATGCCCTATACACCGTGATCCGGCCTTTCCTGAAGGAGAAGACTCGGAAAAGGGTATTTGTTTCTTTTATACTATTCTTTTCCCTCCTTCATTCAATGAATCATGATGCATACTGCCTGTATAATATTGGCTGTAGTTAAATATGCTAGTACATTATATATAAATATTAAACATAAAAGGCTTTTTAAAAGTCTTAAGAATCTTGTGATTAATTCTGAACACTCTATCTGTGAAAGAAACATTTACAAAAGAGAAAACACTTGAGCATGTTCATTGTATATATATATATATATATATATATATACAGGCATTAAGGAACTTGGTGGCATAGTGCCTATTAGGCATTTAACTAGTAACCAGAAACCTGGGGATTCAAAGCCACCACCCACCAGCCACTCCTTGGAAAGAAGGTTGGGCAATCTACTTCTGTAGTGATACTGCCTCGGAAACCCTAGGAGGGGTTGCTATGAGTTGGATCTGACTCGATGGCAGTGGGTTTTATAGGCATTATATTGAATATAGTAATTTTGCTTATATCAAATATAATTTTGTATTTACTGTCATAATTAATCACACTTCTGCGAAAAAATTTTAATGTATAGAAATTAACATTTTAGATTAGTTTCATCTAACAATGAAGATAATCATAGAATATAAATAATAATTTTCCTGAGAATTATATAATCATTTATATAAAGCATTTAGTACACGTATGGCACATGATAAGAACTGTCGTAATTGTTAATACAGGTTTTAATAATGGATTTCAATGCATATTATCTTATTCAACCATCCAACATACCTGCCAAATAAATGTAGTAAGGATTAGCTCCTATTCAGAGCTGAGGAAAGTGAGTCTTAGGATAGATAAGTAACTTGCTTACTGATATATACAGCTCTACAGTTGTAAAGCTGATATATGAGCCCAAGTCTTCCAGATTTGCTTTAAATGTGAAGCTATCTTTTACACTCCATACTGCATCCAATTTTCAAATGGTTATTTCACAGTAAAACACTTACTTCTAAATCTGTATTGAAGATAATTTCTCATGATTCTCAGTAACTGAGGGGACTCATCAGGTATTTCAGTGTTGTAGAAGCCTTGTTGTGATCTAAAAGTGTAACTTTAATCATGTGTCCATATCAAACATTAGTGAACAGAAATTTTATTGTATATGAATTTGTTGAGAATATTCACATAATTTAAAAGGAAACATTCTGTAAATAATCAATTTATATTTAGAGTTATTTATACCACTGAGAATAAAATTAATTCATATTTGAGAATTCAGAAATGTATTGAAATGCCTTAAAAATAACATTTTCAAGCGTTGTTTTTTGAAGGGGTGAAGAGGTAACTCAAAACACATGCTGGGGCTTTAAGTACAAATTAGACTTACATAGTGCTTATGTAGAATTCACTGTAGTATTCACACTGTCTTAAGTATTTTACATATGTTAATTCATTTTATTCTCACAAATGTGCTTTGGGGTAGGAATTGTTCTCTTTCTCATTTTATACATGGAAAAATGTGGTGCAGAAGGTTAAGAAATTTGCTTGGGATCATAGCAAATAGATAGCAGAGTTCAAGATGAACATATATAGGCAGGGCAAGATGGCGGACTAGGCAGAAGGATTGCACAGACCCTCTTCAACAAGGAAAAGGGAAACCAATTAACACAGACACAGAGGATAATCTTGGACCCCTGAGCCTTGAAGGAAAGGATGAAGAATTGGACTAAACCCCAACTAGCAGAAGAATTTGCGTGAAAATACCAAAAAAAAGGAGACCTACGGAGCTGCGGTCTGACAGCGAACTGA